AATCTCAGGAAGGTGAAATCTGAATAGCCTGCCTTCCATTCGATTAAAATGGAATATTCCACATAATAAATATATAATGAAAAACGATTAATTTGAGCTCTAATTCCGTGGACTATTAAGCTATGCTCCACTAATTATATTTCAATATCAGTACACGCTATTGCACTATTTAGGCTTCAGATATATTTAATGTTTGTCAAGATAACCCGGGCCCCATTTAGAATGTCATTACCTCCGCCAAGGAGATGTAAAAAGCTTGATTAATAGTTCCAAGTATTTGAAAATTAATTAACAACTCAAAGTATTGGGGAAAAAATGCAATTGACAAATAGAATGTTTGTAATAGTCTTTTTAGATTTGTCCACAGCATTTGACTCAATTAATCATAAAATACTACATAGGCCTAGGAACTTATTAGGTACTATGGTATAAGAGGACTTGTCTTAGACTGTTTCGTTATCTGGGAAAACGAAAAATGTGTAGACATCAAGGGACACATATCTGAGTATGGAGAACTTTTATATGGAGTGCCATATGGCCCGATTTAGGGCCTCTGCTTTTCTTGTACATAAATGATATGCCTGATGTTTGTAACAGATCTGACTTTATTATATTCGCAGATGATACGGATGTATTTCTGCAACACGAAAATGCAATACGGGCTTTAACCTTATGAACAGAGAGCTCGCCCCCATAAATAAATGGTTCTCAGATAATAAACTAAATAATAATGTGTTAAAGCCAAAATATAAAATTTTCAGAGGTAAAAATAAATCAATCGACATTGGTAACAATGAGTTAATTATGAACAATAAGCTAGAATGTGTGGATCTCGTAACATTTATAGAAGCTGAACTTGATAAATCTGTAACGTTCACACACCATGTAAATTATATAGGCCATAGCTAACAAAATCTCTATTATGATTGGCTCCCTGAACAGACTCAAAACACAACATTTTATTATTTAAAATTATTTAAAGCAGTATGGGCTAATTACATCACACCTACCGCACATTTTGTTTTATTTTATCAAAACTAGTCGCGATGTTTAACATACTTATAGGGGTAAGAGAGAGAAGCGAGCGAAACCCTCTAGTAGTAGCTTATACAAGATGTTTCCATAACCATAATATCTCATATGCCATATCAAATTGAAATTTTGAAATTGGAAATTTTGGCTTGGTCAGCTTGTTTCCGAAGGAAACTCGGCAGCCACAGTGCAGCACCATGCAGCATGTATATCAATGTCCCTTATCCCGTCTAACTCCCATGTGAGAAATTGTTATTTTAAAACCCTAAACCAATTAATGAAATAAAATAAAATGTTCCTCTTCCAGCTAATTTCACGCTTAAAGAGAGCACCTTAGTTTAGTCGGCTAAACTGGTGGTAGCTGGAGAGCTTAAATGCAAGTTAGATAGCGCACCGTCTTTCGCATTATGGTCCGTGTGCACGTTAAGCAGGGCCATAGGAACCGGGGGCCGGGAGGGCATTGGCCCCCACTTTTTCCCAAGAAAATGTGTCGTAGGGGCCTATTTAATAAAATATCTTCTGAGTGAGAAATATATTACTGAAAAACATCCCCACTATTTCCCAAGAAAATGTGTCGTATCGTATTTAAAAAAATATCTTCTGATTGAGAAATATTACTGAAAAACCTTGCGACAAAAACTTCCGCCTCACAATGAATGAGAGTGGCTGAATATAGCGCCACCTAGCGTCTATGATTTTCTATGGATTATGTTTTGTCTTACGTACCGTACACTCTGATTGGCTTGAAGTAGGGTTGATTACGTGGTCGAGTTCGAATAGTAGTTGGTCATCCAGTAAGAAGTGGATCATAACTTATGGTGATTTAAATTTGTATTCTCTGTATAAAACCTATAAATACTACAATACTACAATTAAAGAGTTTAAATGCTACAAATAGTTTTCAATTTGGTCCTGGTCATTCCATGTTATAAGAATTAAAACTGATTTTAAACTACATTAGTCATAGGCCCTATGTTTGGCTGGGTGGCGGTCTTACCATGGTCTTACTAAATAGCCTAGGCCTAGTCTACCGCACAGGAAAAAAATGTAGGCAGCTAGCCTAGATCCTATTAAATCACTAGAGAAAACATTAGGCCTACATTATTAACGATTTTCCATTGCCAAGATAATTATGAATGAGTCTTAGTAGTAGGCAGCTATTTTGAATTCAAATGACGGCCATTTTCCCAGGCGACTTTAGACTCACTTGGCAATTAGGCCTATTTATAAGCTTAGGCCTAGCCTATGCCTAATAGGACCTAGTATGAGTAATTACTGTAATAATATTTTGATGTTTTATAATTATTGTCATTATTTAACAGATGCTTTAGATCTTACGGTCAAAGTAGCCAATGAGTTTTGTGTAAACAACGAACACCGTTTTAATATATTTGGTACTTTCGTTGCTTAATGATACTTGGTAGCATCTATGATTTACACAATATTGCACATATGCATATGTGGTTAGATCTAGTAATTGGTATATTGTAATGTATTAACATAAGATAAGATATGCCATGGAAAACAGGTTTTAAAATAAAATAGGTACTCTTGCATACTCTTTGTTTCTCGTTGTTGAATTCATTTTTTTTTATTACAACATCACAAAACATATATAAAGTCATTTTACAGGAGAACGATGCCTATCAAATAACTTAATAAAAAAAATCACTAAAATTCGTAAAATATCCGTGGCTACCACTGCTTATTTGCCCCCCCCCCCCACTTCCAAATTGGTTCCTACGGGCCTGACGTTAAGCCGGGCACTCACTGCATCGTACGACGAATCCATCCAACATCGCTCCCTGTGAACGCTAAACGACACGACGTCGTCTGCTAATTGTCGGTGACAGGATGAACTGATCGTTGAGCGAGCATCGTTGCGTTGCGTTTTTCATAGAATCAAGTCGGCCGAACCGTCGGGCGCATTGAGCACCCGAGCTTCAAAGAACGCAGTACCGGTACCGTATATTATTCGTAGAGGTTTGTCTCCCGGTGTACTGTCACAATCATCACCCGAAGGACTCCACTGGAAATAAGGTCTTCTCCAGACTTTCGTGGGTTATCCTTGGTGTTTACACCAAAAACTTACCATTCACCCGAAGAAGTGTGTGTGTGTACAAAAATTCAACTAATGTCAGAGTGCTACTTTTTCTATCTTTCTGTTTGAGGTTTGGATGAGGCCTCTAATGTATTGAGGATTTTCATACAGTTAAATAATTTTCTTGAAACAAAGCAGTAAGATTTGTTCCACATGATATACAGTACAGAAGAAAAACTAACACCACTGCCTTTAACTTATAATAGTTGGTCATCCTGAAAAGTGTCCACTAAGGGAGACTGCAAAAATTTTAAAGAAACACATGGTCTCATCCCAGACAACATAACACGTATTAAACACAACGATTCATGCAGAAAAACTCGTCAGCACAAAGGGGAGCGTACATATATTATCAATAGCAATAGTAATTATGTTAAGCAAAGACGGTTTTAATTCACTCTACCCAAGAACAATACAAGAATGGAACTTACTGCCTACAGAATTGCGATCTGCAGTCAACTGAGCTTAAAACATTTTGTAAATGGACTAAATAAAATAAATACTTGTTTATATAAAATGTAATATTCTGCCGGTATCCAGGATTACCATGGAAAGGAAAGGTGGGTTTTAATTCACTCTACCCAAGAACAATACCAGAATGGAACTTACTGCCTACAGAATCGCGATCTGAGGTCAACTTAAAACATTTTGTAAATGGACTGAATAAAATAAATACTTGTTTATATAAAATTTAATATTCTGCTACTCTTGTGCAGTATGACCGATTAGCAGTGGGTCTTGATATTTCATCGCAAAATTTATAGTCAAGAAACAGGAACAGAAACTATTTACTGCGTGCGTATGATTGGTGATAATAGGAAACATTATGTCAATATGACAACTGAAACGATATAGGCCTATTATTATTACAACAGGAATTTCAATCAGAAAAAAAGTGAACAAAATATTTTAGTTGTTTAATTTTACCCAACCAACCATGTTTTATGTGAATACACAATGTGTCACCAAATATTTTCAAAACTATAAATAGCTTTGTTGGTTTTATATGTTAAATATTACTTCCTTGTTACAGCAACAAATGCATACAGACATTAAACAAGAAGTAATGCTGTTTAATATTATTTCAATTTCAATTTTATTCAAAAACCTCCAGAAAGGAGAAGCACAAACAGCAAGCAATAAAATTACAAAGAAAACAGAGAAAACGGGAAAACAAACGAACAATACCCTCATCCAGAAGGAAAGGACAACCAGAGTTAAAATGGTTTGGTGAGCATGATAATTAAGTAGTTGTTTTGTTAAATATTATATTAATATATTATTATAAAGTAAGTAGATATTGTTATAAAGTATTATATGGATAATAAAGCAACGCAGTAAGATAGGCCGGTATCCAGGATTACCATGGAAAGGAAAGGTGGGTACGGGGTATGAAAAAGTGGACCAACTAGCTACAGGCTGTAGGTCTGTCATGTAAAATTTCCGGCAGTGTAAAGGAGCAGAGCCGATAGGTATATCGTAGAGGTTCCAGAGCCTTTAATCAATTTCAGATATGTAACTTAAAAAAGGGCAAATTTTATATTGAGTACATTCGCAATTGTCTTAAAATGTTGACCTTCATGTTCCGATTGTTTTGTGGAGAATGTGTGTGGAGGTAGATATTGTACCAACCCATCACATTCCTTGGATAATGACCTGTGAGAGCTAATCATAGTCAATGTAATAAGTTCAGTAAGCTAAATGCTCATTATTAAAATGGTGAAGCACTAAACGTCTCTACTTACTACTCTATACTAATAAACTGATAAATAACAGAGAATGATGATAGATCATGTGACAGTATATACAGTAACTTTTAAATAATACGCAAATTTATTAACTTAATAATCGATGAAATTGTTATTTTAAATTAAAATTAGTATGATTCACACAATTAAAGAGAGAAACAAAAAATACATAAATAGAAATAACACCCAAAAAAAGGGCTCAAGCAAACATCTTGTTTTTGTAGAGGTTCAATGTCTTCTAACTTATTTTTTTTTTGTTTTTTTCATACATTAGGATTTTTTTTAATCATTTTTGTCATTTTGCCTTCATATTACAAATATAATATTGTTTTTGTTTTAGTAGTCTTAACTTTTTTAACTTAACTTATATTCAAGTAACTAAATTTTTTCAGATAATGTCTTCTTGCGATAACTTGAATGATACTTTGGACAAAACATCAGATGCAGTGGAACTTGGTCTCTCTATATCACGCTACGTCTTGACCATCATTGGAGTCGTTGCCAACTTGATGGTGATCATTGTGTTCATTAACTGCAAGATTTACCGAAAATGCTTCACATATCTTCTGCTATTCCAACAGGCATCTATTGATTTGTTTGGATGCTGCTTTTATCTAATTTTATTCAACTATCGTGTACCAGATGGTGAATATGGCATTGTTTATTGCAAATCTAGAACTTTATTCTGGATGTTTGCATCGGCTTCAACCTTCAATCTTGTCTTTATATCTATAGAGAGGTACATCGCAGTTCTGCATCCATTGAAATACTGGATGAGAGGCAAAGTTAGAACCAAAATGGTGCCGAAGCTGTGTGTCCCATGGTTATTCGCCATACTTGTTGTATTTCAGCTGGCCATTCTTAGCGTGCCCGATAAATTAAGCCCAGGAAAATGCAGGTACTGTTACAGCAGCGGAACCGTGCGGATAATCTCCGGCGGCTCAATATTTCTGTTGAATTGGATAATTCCTATTTTTGTTATGACATTTTGCTATCGTCGTGTTTACATCACGATGCAAAATCCGACGATAAATTTGCATAAATCCTCAAGCTCCGTACAAATCGACCGCACCGACGAAACCACTGACGACACTGAAACAAAAGATAATGTCTTCACGGTAGAAGGTTCGCAGAAACAATACTATAGTAAGACTCAGAAAAATTTTATCGTAACTATGGTCATTACTACCATTGTGTTTGCTGTCAGCATCTCACCACTGTTAATTGTGTATCTCGTGTACGTTCTTTGCGACTGTTTTGATTATGACAGGCATCCTTTCAGACAAGCAGCGATCATATGCTTCGTATCAAGTCTGGCTGCCAACCCATTTGTATATGCGTTTAAGTTCAATGAGTTCAAAATAGGCTTTGAGAAGACATTCATTCGCCGACGACATTAGTCACAATGTTTACCATAATTGTAACTTTTCTGTCAACCTATAGCCTCATGTATGTTGTTTCAACAGTATAATAAACGCGAGCGGTTTGAAACAATTGCATACATTTATAAACTAACAGTAAATAAAAATATCAGTGTTATGGCTCACTAAAAATAAGGGTATACCCAATAGTAGAACTATAATCAACAGACATATTATTGCTAATTGCTTCATTCATAATTACGACTTAATAATACATATTTGAAATATATATTATACAATGGCATAGGACCTATTATTTTGCATATGAATACTATTGTTATTAATATAATCCTTATTTTATTATTAATATTGTCGTCATTATCATCATCATCATCGTTCGTTGTCGTTATTGTAAATGACGTTGTCACTTTCATCGTCATCGTAATTATAATGACAATAATTTCTTAATATTATCATTAAAATTACTTTTATTTTTTTATTATAATTTTATTAATAATAATAAGTAAGCTTTGCTTTGAAAAATATTTTTAGATATGGAAAGGTGCTGCACCAAACGAAGGTACAATAGCCAAGTGTTAGTTCAAGTGACGACCTATTGCTAAAGGAGCTACAAAATGTAAAATACCTATTTTTTTCATCATCGTTCGTTGTCGTTATTGTAAATGACGTTGTCACTTTCATCGTCATCGTAATTATAATGACAATAATTTCTTAATATTATCATTAAAATTACTTATATTTTTTTATTATAATTTTATTAATAATAATAAGCAAGCTTTGCTTTGAAAAATATTTTTATATATGGAAAGGTGCTGCAACAAACGAAGGTACAATAGCCAAGTGTTAGTTCAACTGACGACCTATTGTTAAAGGAGCTACAAAATGTAAAATACCTATTTTTTTAGAAAGTAGACAAATGATGATCGTATAAAACGAAGTGTTAATTATGATGTTTCTTGGTATAAATATTTGTTTAATAATAAGTACAGTCACCAATTTAAACAGGAATTGTAACGGATCGATTGTCAGAACCATGGTATTTGTGATAGTGGTAAAAATGCAATGGAGAGAGATTATGTTCATTGATAATGAAAATTTGAATATTATCAAACTTTTGCTTAAAAAGGCCTATTGTGTGTATGTATATATATATATATATATATATATATATATATATATAGATACACACATTATATATACACACATACAGACACACACACACACACATATATATATATATATACATAGTTATATTATATATTATAGGCCTATATAAGATGTGTATAAGAGACAGGTCCACATCTGAAGCAATATATATATATATATATATATATATATATAGTGATATTTTTGAATAATTGTTATTGTTACTATCAATACACATGATTTTATGTATTTTGATGTGTATTGATGTTTTGTTTTCCTTTTTTTATATACTCTCCATGGAAAAATCTTGTATAAGCCATTTCGGTCCTTAATAGAATAATAATAGTAATTGATAAAATAAAACTATAAATAGCTTTATTGGTTTTATATTTTAAATATTACTTCCTTGTTACAGCAAAAATGCATACAGACGTTAAACAAGAAGTAATGCTGTTTAATATTATATTAATATAAAGTAAGTAGATATTATTATAAAGTTTTAAATGGATAATAAAGCAACGCAGTAGGATAGGCCGGTATCCAGGATTACCATTGAAAGGAAAGGTGGGTACGGGGTATGAAAAAGTGGACCAACTAGCTACAGGCTGTAGGTCTGTCATGTAAAATTTCCGGCAGTGTAAAGGAGCAGAGCCGATAGCATTACAGCTTAGGTATATCGTAGAGGTTCCGGAGCCTTTAATCAATTTCAGATATGTAACTTAAAAAAGGGCAAATTTTATATTGAGTACATTCGCAATTGTCTTCAAATGTGGACCTTCATGTTCCGATTGTTTTGTGGAGAATGTGTGTGGAGGTAGATATTGTACCAACCCATCACATTCCTTGGATAATGACCTGTGAGAGCTAATACCGTAATAGTCAATGTAATATGTTCAGTAAACTAAATGCTCATTATTAAAATGGTGAAGCACTAAACGTCTCTACTTACTACTCTATACTTGATAAATAACAGAGAATGATGATAGATCATGTGACAGTATATACAGTAACTTTGAAATAATACGCAAATTTATTAACTTAATAATCGATGAAATTGTTATTTTAAATTAAAATGAGTATGATTCACACAAAAGAGAGAAACAAAAAATATATAAATAAAAATAACACCTAAAAAAAGAGGCCTCAACCAAACATCTTGTTTTTATAGAAGTTCAATGTTTTCTAACTTATTTTTGTTTTATTATTTTTACATACATTAGGATTTGTTTTATGTTTTTTTGTCATTTTGCCATCATATTACAAATATAATATTGTTTTTGTTTTAGTTTTATGTCTCGTTGTAGTCGACATCTGGATTGTTTTTTGTTTGTTTTAGTTTGTTTGTTTTTTGTTTTAACATGCTCTAACTCATTTTCTTGATCTGTTACTTTTTAATGTTCAGTACAATTAATTGTTTAACACTTTGCTTTCTTAGATAAGATATTATAATACATACTCCATCGTGTCGGGATTCAATATTTCGACATTAATTATGTCATCCGCAGGTCCTGGTGATGACATAAAGAATGTAGAAATATTGAATCCCGACACGATGGCGTACATTTTCGATACTTGGAGTATGTATTATACTATCTTATCTGATATTAATCAGTGGACCTTTCGGTTATGCTTTCTTATGTTTGTATTTCGTATTTATATTTTCTATTAACACTATACTTTCTTAGATAAGATAGTATAATACATACTCCAAGTATCAAAATGCACGCCATCGTGTCGGGATTCAATATTTCGACATTAATTATGTCATCATCAGGTCCTGGTGATGACATAAATAATATAGAAATATTGATGGCGTACATTTTCGATACTTGGAGTATATATTATACTATCTTATCTGATATTAATCAGATAACAATAATTATGTGTATATAGACTTAATAAAGGCTGCGTTATGAATGAATATGACACTGTTCTAGTACAGTAAACATGGTATGTCTTCTTCTTTATGTTTTCATTAATGATGGCGGCAATGCATACAAGAACTAGAAAGTGCGAAGTAGATTTTCTACTGTCATATAAGGTGTAGTCTCAGCTTTAATCTTTACACCGGTACAGTAACTTGGAGTATATATTATACTATCTTATCTGATATTAATCAGTGGACCTTCCAGTTTATGCTTTCTTATGTTTGTATTTCGTATTTCTATTTTCTATCTATTTCTGCATTGCTCCCCTATCTATTCGAAAGTGTAAGTTATTTCCATTCCTCAAAAGTCAAAGCCTCACGCAATCAACTACCGAGTCTCAGTTGCTGTATAGGTTATAGGCTGTTGTAAGTCTTAAAGTTTTTGACTCAACTTATATTCAAGTAACTACATTTTTCAGATAATGTCTTCTTGCGATAACTTGAATGTTACTTTGGACGAAACATCAGATGCAGTAGAACTTAGTCTCTCTATATCACGCTACGTCTTGACCATCATTGGAGTCGTTGCCAACTTGATGGTGATCATTGTGTTCATTAACTGCAAGATTTACCGAAAATGCTTCACATATCTTCTGCTATTCCAACAGGCATCTATTGATTTGTTTGGATGCTGCTTTTATCTAATTTTATTCAACTATCGTGTACCAGATGGTGAATATGGCATTGTTTATTGCAAATCTAGAACTTTATTCTGGATGTTTGCATCGGCTTCAACCTTCAATCTTGTCTTTATATCTATAGAGAGGTACATCGCAGTTCTGCATCCATTGAAATACTGGATGAGAGGCAAAGTTAGAACCAAAATGGTGCCGAAGCTGTGTGTCCCATGGTTAGTCGCCATACTTGTTGTATTTCAGTTGGCCATTCTTAGCGTGCCCGATAATTTTAGCCCAGGAAATTGCAGGTATTGTTACAGCAGCGGAACTGTGCGGATAATCTCCGGCGGCTCAATATTTCTGTTGAGTTGGATAATTCCTATTTTTGTTATGACATTTTGCTATCGTCGTGTTTACATCACGATGCAAAATCCGACGATAAATTTCCATAAAGCCTCAAGTTCCGTACAAATCGACCGCACCGACGAAACCACTGACGACACTGAAACAAAAGATAATGTCTTCAAGG